TGCTCCCAGACAGCAAAGCCTGTCATCAGGAATTAAAACAATGATTCAGATTTATCCTTGAAGTCTTCCCCCTCCCCGCCCCCGGAAAGTGGTGGCCCAAATTGCGAAAGGGGCAGAAGGCATAACTTCGCCTCCTCAATCTGTTGTCTCCTTGAAGTTGCCAAGTCCCCTCTGCAGCCATGGCTGTCAGCTCTCCCTTTGGCGGGAAGGAAACACCTGAGGCTGCTTTTAAGCCTCATATTCCATTCTCGAAACCTGTCCGGAGACATCTTTGACGCCTTGAAAAGCGAATGAGGGGAGAGGGGGGGAACTTTTAAAAGCCTAAGAGTCGCCACATGGGACGTGCCGCTTCATTGGAACACGTCCGAAGTGGTAGCCATGGACAGGTTTTTCCGCAGGTGCTTTTTGAACAATTTAAAACTTTGTTTCTTTCTCCCCCTTCAGCTTACGAAATTTACATATTAGCTCGGTTCGGGGGCTTGCTGAAGAGCGCGAGGGGTGGGGGACGGAGGGTGCCGCCTGCCACTTGTTTTTCTTTTTGAGTCTGTGAAGCTGCCTTATACGTTTGTCAAAACTTTGGTCCTTCTCATCTGCTCTGCTTCCCATTGGCACCCCAAAATTTACTTTATTTTATTTATATTGGAAGCATTCATTAGCCGCCTGTCTCCCCTGCGGAACTCAAGGCGGCTTACGATATAAATAAAACGATTATGGGGGGGGGGGAACACAACAAAACCAATATGAATAAAACAACAATTATAAAAACACAGAAAAGGTCACGATTTAAAAACTCCAGTTAGGACTGCCAGTAAATACAAAACTAAGGCCCTGGTCACACGGGCAGGAAAATGCGGGGGGGAAGCGTGGCTGTTTTCCCCGGGGCAAAATAACGCACGGTTGCGCCAGCAGACGTATCGTGGAGGTCCCGTGGTAGGGGGGAGGTGCCGAGCACACCACAATCCTGCGCCACGGCAAAGAAGCGGCGCGGCAAACGGGTGTTCCCCCCCCCCCAGACACCAAAGTGTGTGCATGCCCTGTTGGGTGCTTGTGCACATCCCATGGCCAGTTGAAACAAAAAACCTTTATACGAGGGGGCATGGGTGGGCGCCAGAACTACCACCGGAAACATGATCAGACGCCCGCCCTTGCCCCATGGTTACTGGAAACTAGTACCTCTGAGGTACTAGTTTTTAACCGCGCATCTTCGGCGGGAAGCCTCGGGTTCGCCATGGGAGCTCTATGCTTCCCCGATGTCGCGGTGAGATCGCGCCTGGAAAATCCGCCTATCTTCTGTCTCTCTAGCATGCCTAATGCTCCGTGTGACTGCAGCCTGTGTCAGTCAAATGCAGTCCTAAATAATATCGTCTTCAACCTGCCTCCTGCCAGGCGCACCTCCCTGGGGAGCTTGTTCCGTAACTGTGGGGCTGCCACTGGGAAGGCCCTTTCCTGTGTGGCCACCAGGGGAGCTTCTTTGACTGGTGGGGCAGTCAGGAGGGCCTTTCCCTGTGATCTTAATTAATGGGCAGGGCGAGCCAGGTTTGAATCTCCACTCCATCGTGGAAATTTGCTAGATGACCTTGGTCCAGTTACACTAAGTCTAGTCTACCTCACAGGGTTGTTGTGAGGCTAGATGGAGGAAAGCCGTATAAGCTGCTTTGGGTCTCCATTGTGAGAAAGTTGGGGTATAATGAAGTAAAATAAAGTAAAATAAAGTAAATAAATAAATAAGTAAAGTAAAATAAAGTAAATAAAAAGTACAGTCTACTAGCCACTTTCAGACAGAAAAGGTTAACATTAACCATAGTTCTGGAGAGAAAGGGAAAAGGGAGCTGGTACTCGAGAGGGGAATTGTGGGGACTGGGGAGCGCACAGGCTTGTGGCTTACTCGCCATAATTAAAGATGCTGTGTCTGCAGCACATTACAAGACTTCTGAAGGCTGTGTTGCCTCCTTCCCCACAGGGTTACGCCAGTGAGAATTGCAGGTTGTCAACGTTCAGAGATGAAGAATTGTAAATACGTGCACCCAGGCCTCCTAACCTTTTTGAAGCATTTTGCGTTCACTTCCTTTTGGAGGCTGAGAAGGGAACGCAGCTACAGGTCTCCGCGTTGCTGTCTGTGGGAGAACTGAACAAGCTGTGCATGTCCCATAGTTACAGGAGCAACCACAAAGTGTCTGACTCAAGGATTTCAAATATAGAACTTATTTAAACAGTGATAGTTTGTCTTCTATCCCCTTTTCCTCAAGCTTGTAGTTCAAATTACAGGAGGCAGTTAGAGAAATGAAAGCATGCTTAAGCATCAATTCATGGTTTAATATTTGTGGACATATAAGCGTTTAAATTCCCTTCTGATATTGTATACCACTTGTCCTGCCAACTTTATCCCAGGGTTCTCTTTATGTCAGCACCTCTCCCTCTCCCTCTCCCTCTCCCTCTCCCTCCCTCTCCCTCCCTCTCTCTCTCTCTCTCTCTCTCTCTCTCTCTCTCTCTCTCTCTCTCTCTCTCTCTTTAAAGCTTAACTCATTACATCTGTTTTAACTTCTTGGTGATTTGGCACGCCGCTTCTGAGCGTTTGCCATTTTCCCAGAAGTTTTGACATCCCATCTCGGATCCATTACCAAACAGTTATGAAAATATGTCATGATGAGCCATTTACAGGAAGTCTGGATCCCCCCCCCCACTAACCCTGAATTGATCCCTTCTAGGGTTCCATTAGTGACCAAATTAATTAGACCTGCTCACCAAGTGCCCCTGAGCCCCAGCTGCACAGATTCCCCCCCCCCCACCTTTCATTTTCGCTGGGTTTGGAGATGGTAAGAACCAGCAGGACTACTGCGGCTTCCGATCAGTGGGAAAGACGCCTGTGGTTCCTCACTTCCAGATGCCGTGGGCACAAACGAGAGAAGACCCCTGGTTTTCGACACTCGGGTCATGCCAGAGAACCTGGGAAAGGGAAGAGGGCTGGCGGCAGCTGCAGATTATGGCTAGCTAGTGAGCCAAGATGACTTTTGTGGACGCCCCCTGCATTATACTCTTGATTTTTGCACCAGCTCAGCCACTTGAAAGAACTTTAGGGCAGAGATTCCCATACTTATTTGGCCTACTGCCCCATTTTCAGAAACAAAAATTACTCAGCGCCCCCTGGAAATCTACCTTCAAGAAGTGGATCTGCACCTGGATCGTTCCAGTCCACCTGGATCGTTCCAGCGCCCCCGAGGGAGCAGTATTGACCACTTTGGGAACCAGTGCTTTAGGAGGATATTAGAAACAAGGTGTTTTTTTTTTAGGGGGGGGGCGGTGTTGTGCCAGGTTACAAGAGAAACAAAAAGGAGATTCCCCCCCCCCATATAAGATATTAGACTTTTAAAAAATCAGTTGAAGTTCTCTTAGATAAGCAGTTCCCAAACTCTGTGCCATGAAAAGGGGATTAACTAATACCCTACCCATAAAGGAGTTTTCCTATTCCATCTCAGCATGAGTCACTGCTCTGGACTTTCCCCTTTTCAGCAGCTTCTGGGGGGGGGGTGTTGTGGCATCTCTGTTCTGTCAGGTGCTTCTGGTGCAATGACGTAGCAGAGGAAGAGTCTTTCTGTTGTGGCTCTGAATGAATAAATGCTATGGCTTGCCTCCTTCCCATCAGGAGGCATGCCTGAAGCAGCAACTCATGCAGAGTATCAGGCGACAGAGTCCTTGGTGGGTAAGTGTCTGGAAGCCAGTGTTTTCAACTGTAATGATAAAGATTGCCTCCAGTTATAATTCAGGAGATAAAAAAAAAGACCAACTCAAAACTCTCTGCCTCAGCCATTACAAGTTTGGCAAATATTGCTTAATGGTCAGCAAAGACCACCAAATTCCAAAAGTAAGCAATCAAAGAGACCGCAGCTAAGACCGTTCCAACCATATTCAGTTTATAAATGATGATAAAGAAGGGATTTGGTGCTGCTAGCAGCGATCAACTCACCTGCCTGGTTGTCATAGGCCTCTGGAAAGGTCTCTGCCTGCCATTGGCTGCGTTGCTCTGACCGTGAGAAGAGGCTAATTTGCCATTGGTTGAAACTCCTAGTGGAGGACTAGGCAAAGCAGATAAGAGACCCTCAGAATGAATCCTGACTAAGGGGAGGCAGTGGAGAGGGAGTGGAAAAGGAAATGATATGGACCAACTTCCCTTCTGGTTGATCAGAATAGTCCAAGGAAAGGTGTTTGTATCAGTAAACTGGTTGAGCTTCCTCTGGTGAAAGTATAAGCTCGGCCAGAGACGGTTTTCAACACTCAGGGGTAGCTCGGTGTATTAATTGCTGCAGGAGCACTGGTGTTATGCTGATGATTCTCTGCAGCAGACTGGTAACATGTGGACGCAACATTGAGCATGTGTACATATCTTTTAAACCCCTCGTGGGTATGCCTCAGGGAAACCTGATAGGGCCAATTTCCCTAGGACTGCATGCCGCATCTGCATGCCGATCACGTATTATGTGTCTGTTGTGGGCAAATAGTGTGTTTCCTTCTGTAAGATGTAAGGGGCCACTGATCTCAGCAACATTAAGGCAGCATTGTTTAGGAAGGCATTTGAGGGAAGCTAATTTTATCTTGTGGCTGTTTATTCCTGTTACCAGATTGGTAATGTGGAAATGCTTTTGGTGTATTCTGGTGTCTTTCTGCTTTTGAACGCTACCTATTTTTTAATGTATTCTCCTTTTATAAGCTTGCATGAGCCACCTTTTGATGGGGAGGAAGGTGGGGTATGAACGTTCTTCAGTACAACACTGCGTATTTGACTCTCCAAACCTCAAGCTTTTTAGCGGTCTGATTATCTTTGACCTGCAGTTTAATTTCTTCCTTGGCAGGACAATAACCGCACATCTCAAGTGGTTCTTTCCCCCCCTTCCCCTCTCAGGTTTTCAGAGTATTTTTATACCTCTCTGAGATGGTACAGCCATTGGCTCCAAGGCCAAGGTTTCCCTGTGCTAAAACAGTGCTGTTCTTCTTCTTGTTTCCTGCAGATCAGTGGCGAAGCTCAAGAGCTCTACTCTGTCCGACACGGCCCTGTCCGAGCTGCCCGAATCTTGCCATCGCCGCAGATCAGTAAGTGTGGAATTTTGTGAACTTACTCCCCCCAAAAAACCTTTCGTTTCCTAACTATCTGGTTCCTTTTATTCAGTTAGAGAAGAGGGAGTTACGTATGGTGCCTGCCTGTCAAAGTTTACTCTTCCTAAGGATGTGACTGTGGCAGCCACATTTGCTCAGTGATGTCTCTTTCATGTTGTTGTGCAAGGCAAAGATGGGGAGAGTTGAGATTAATGTGCAGGGAGCAGAACCAGCCCCCTCCTGATGAACACATGAAGCCGCTTTATCCTGGATCAGACCTTTGGTCCACCAAGGTCAGTCTTGTTTACTTAGACTGGCAGGGTCAGTCTTTCCAGGGCACAGGTTATTCATATAATGTAATGTCTGATTCTTTCAAGAGCCAGTAGTGGTTAGGAGCGCGGACTCTAGTCTGGGAGAACCAGGTTTGATTCCCCACTCCTCCATGTGCAGTTGCTGGTGTGAACTTGGGTCAGCTACAAGTTCTTTCTGAGCTGTTCTCTCATGAACAGTTCTTGAGTGAGCTCTCTCAGCCCCACCTACCTCACAGGGTGTCTTCTATGGGGAGGGAAAGGGAAAGGAGATTGTAAGTCATTCTGAGACTCCTTTGGGTAGTGAAGGGCGGGGTATAGATCTAATCTCCTTCTCCTCTACTTCTACTTCTCCTACTACTTCTCCTACTTCTACTACTACTGCTACTATTGGAGATACTGTGAATTGAACCTGGGACCTTCTGCATGCCAAGTGGATGCCCCATCCCATCTTCCAGAACCCCCACAAACTTTTCTCGTAATTCAAATACTTACAGAGTAAGAGTTGAGCAGGGAGGGGAGAGAATTTAGAAGATTGACCACAGGGTGGTTGGGCAGGCTGCGCTCCCTGTGTCCACTTGCTCTCCAGAAGGGTGGGAGAGGCATGAGAAGTGAGGCCCAGCTTGGTCCGTGACATGTCATGCCGGCGTGGCCAGCTGCCCAGTGATAAATGTTAGAATTTCCCTGAATGAGTGCGAGTCTCTTGGGTGAGCTTTTCTTTGGGTCTTGGCCTTAGTGTGCCCGTGGCCCACCTTGGAATCCTCAAGGCCCTTTGCTGTGGGGAGTCAGAGGAAAGCCTGAAACTGCAGCAGCTCTGCTGTGTTGACTAGGCAAGGGCAGAAGGCCAGGCACCTGGTGTGTATCCTGGACTTTGGTCACCCCTGAGACTTCATAGCACTTGTCACTTGCAGTGACCTGAGCATGTGCAGTCCCAGCCAGCTCTCTAATAGGGCCGCCAACCGTCATGTGGTGCCTGGAAATCCCCAGGAATTACAGCTATTCTCCAGAGATCAGTTCCCATGGAGAGAATGGCTACCTTGGACTCTATGGCATTGTGCCCCACTGAGGTCCCTTCCCTCCCCAGGCTCCACCCCCAGATCTCCAGGAATTTCCCAACCCTGAGCTGGTAACCTTTCTCACTTGACTTGGTCCTGGTCTCTGGCATGAGCTTTTTAACCGAAGCCCTGGAGTCCCTGACAAGGTGCAGGGAAGCACAGTGTTTGGAGGATGGGTATGTGGGATAAAGCAACTGGTTAGCTGCAGAAGCTTGCTTCAGTTCGGCTTGGTTCATACATGCGAGGCTATGAGCTGGCAGAATGGACTTCAGGCCACAGGTGATGGATTCCAGCTTTCAAAGCCCCTTTGCAAAAAAAACCAAACACACCCTGTGAAATAGAAAACTAGCGCATGAAAGATGAACAATTCTGCCCAGTGTCTTGGGTTGCTCTGCTGCTTTTCTGTTTGCCAGGGACTTTCGATGTAGGGGAGCTTTCTAAAATGGAATCTTCCACTTGCAGCCTGAAGGAGTATTTTACCACTTTAGTACAGAACCATCTCTTTCTTCTGGATAGGAACAGCCTTTAGTCTCTGAAGTGACACACCTTCCCTTCATTGTGAAGGGCTTCTAGTGTCCTGGCCCCACTGCTGGACCTCCTGAGGGCACCTGCTATTTTTGGCCCCTGTGTGACAGAGTGTTGGACTGGATGGGCCATTGGCCTGATCCAACATTGGCTTCTCTTATGTTCTCTCTTATGTTCTTATGAAGGGTCATGCTTAGTTTTTTGGCGGTTTTTGAAAAATCTCTCAACAGTGTTCTAAGAGTTGGGTCCAGGGGAAGATTTCCCCATGTGCTAGAGCCCTTGCGCGAGCAGAGACTGCACTGACATCCTGCACTAAGATAGATCCAGGTAGTCAGACATGTTGGTCTGAAGCATAAGAACCTAAGAGTAGCCAATGCTGGATCAGGCCAATGGCCCATCCAGTTCAACACTCTGTCACACAGTGGCCAGAAACACCAGGTGCCATCAGGAGGTCCAGCAGTGGGGCCAGGACACTAGAAGCCCTCCCACTGTTGCCCCCCCCAAAGCACCAAGAATACAGAGCATCACTTGCCCCAGACCGAGAATTCCTATCGATACCTTGTGGCTAATAATTGTATTTGAAAAAGGGTGCCTTGCACACGAAAGCTCATACCTTGAATATAACTTTGTTGGTCTTAAAGGTGCCCCCACGGGACTCTAAATTTATCTTGCACTAAGTTAAGGTTATTGCGCACCAACTTGCATTTCTGCTTGCACAATATGGACCGGGCATAGGGCTGCCAAACCGCGGCGGGGGATCCATGCGTCGTCGCAGGATCGCTGCCGCGGGGGGACAGCGATCCGCATTGCACCGGCGTCGCCAGGATGTGACGCTACGCGTCGCCCTGGCAACGGGACTCCAAACAGCCCCGTTGCCAGAGCGACGCGTAGCATCACATCCTGGCGACACCGGTGCAACGCGGATCGCTGTCCCCCCGCGGCAGCGATCCTGCGACGACGCACGGATCCCCCGCCGCGGTTTGGCAGCCCTAACTGAGCAGCAGAATATTGCTAAGGTCATAAATAGAACCCTGTTGGATCAGACCCATGAGTCCACCTCGTCTGGCATTCCTTGTTCAACTGCAGGCATCTGGATGCCCACAGCAAAAAGTGTTTTGTTTTGTTTTTAAATTTACTGGCATCTCTTGTTGTTGTGTTGCTGTGGTGGCTCAAGTGGTTAAGACGCTGAACTGCAGGCTGTGGAAGGTCAGTAGTTCAGCAGTTCAAGACCCGAGTGCCGCATGATGGAGTGAGCTCCCATCTCTAGTTCCAGCTCCTGCCAACCTAGCAGTTCGAAAGCAAGAAATTGCAAGTAGATAAATAGGGACCACTTCAGTGGGAAGGTAACAGCGTTCCGTGCGCCTTGGTGTTTAGTCATGCCGGCCACATGACCACGGAAACGTCTTCGGACAGTGCTGGCTCTTCGGCTTGGAAACGGAGATGAGCACCGCAACCCTAGAGTCGGATTCGACTGGCTTTCGAGCAAGGGAACCTTTACCTTTACCTTTACCTTGTTGTTTGGGGTCTCTGGGATTTGCACTGGGAACCTCACAAGAGGCTTAGACTTGACCTGTTGACTTACTGGGCTGTGTGTTCAGACCCCTGTTCAAGTCACAGAAGAACGTAGGGCTATGCAGCATAAGCCTCTGCAACTGTCTGGCAGTATGAGGCTTTTGGATTGGTCCAGATACCGAGAACCTGGTCAGCTGAGCAGATCCTGCCCTCTTTCCAAGCCGTGGTTCTAGTACAGCAGCCATCAGACCCTGACAGTCCTCAGCATCTGGTAATGGAACCTCATTTAGGAGAGGCTGTGGCTCAGTGGTAGAGCATCTGCTTGTCATGCAGAAAGTCCAAGGTTCAATCCTTGGCATCTCCAGAAAGGATCAGCTTGTAGGTGACGTAGAAGACTTCAGCCTGTGATCCTGAAAAGTTACTGCCAGCCTGAGTAGACTACACTGACTTTGATGGACCAGGGGTCTCATTCAGTATAAGACAGTTTTGTGTGCTCATGTGTGTATTCATATATGGTTTTGTAGTCAACAGGGTACAGGTGCTGCCAGTTGTGCTCCAAAAGTGTGGGATTTGCCATTGGGTGCAGAATTCAGCATCCTAGGATTCATTCAAAAATAAGTTTCTAGTCCTCATAGTTATGATGGAAAAACTAGTGAATTTGTTGTCGCAAAATACGAATTCTACTGTGTAGCTGTCTCCTTTTGTTTGGGTGCTTTTCTATTCAGTCATCTTGCTGGCTACATGAAAGAACAATTCAAATTAGTTCATATTAAATTGAATCAAATCTGTGGGTTTTTTATCATAAAAAGTTTTGGTTTTTCTTTACATAGTTTGCTAGAAAGTAAAACTTTGATTAAAAGCAACCGTATGCATTATTGACCGGTCTTTGGAATCGGATGAAAGTAACTCTGTAATCAGAGGCCTCAGATAGCCAGCACATGAAACAGGATTGGGAGAGGAATAAAAGGGAATTTTGTAAAGAAGAAGCTGATAGCCATCAGCAGCACTGAAACGGCCTCTTTACTGGGAAACTATAAAAGGGGGGGGGGAATAGTTGGATGTGGGGGCTGCTTGTGGAGGAACTTGGCGTGTTCCTTAAAAGAGATTGCAGCCTGAGATAAGCGACTCGCTCCCAGGTGTGAAAGGGAAGACTCAGGCTTTTAACTCGGTGGCTATTTCAACATCGCAGCTTAATAGTTTGTCAGCTATGTTGCTAAAGCATCATAACCCTTTGATGTTGAGTCCTCGGCTGTGTTGCGCTCTCAGAAGCATAAAGCGGCTCTGTTTGGAAGAGTCATTTCGTGCCTTGGCTTTGGGAGATGCTTTGCCGTTATCTGATTGAGCAAGTCTCTATGGTGAGGTCTGTTCGCGTGCGGGCACACTTGTGTTTCTCTGGATCCGAAGGCAGGATCAGACCCCTTGCAGTCCTGTGGCTTTGAGAGTTTTCTAGTTTCTGGGAACCCTTTTCACACTGTCTCATCTACCGGGGAACCCTAGCACTGACTGCCATGGAACTGTGTGTTGCAGTGGATTGTGGGATGTGTGCCTTTAGGGTGTGCTGTTGCTATGCGTGAACCAAGAGTATGTGTTAATATAT